TGTATAAAGCCACAACAGATGAAAAAGCCAAAGCAACCTTGAGAAAGAACAAATTTGGAGTCATCACAATTCCTGATTTCAAATGATATTACAAAACTATAGTAATCAAAACTGCATGGAGGAGAAGTGCCTCCACCATGACAGGGAGCCCAAGGTAGAGAGGTGCCCCAGGCAACCCCAAACCATACCCTCTCCCATGTAGGAGGCAGCAGGAGCATCACCACCAGGACACAGAGGGCCCAAACTGCTTCTGTGGAGGTGGTCCACAATAGCCAGCACCACAGCTTCCACTGATGCAAGGACAGCTTGACATAACAGTAGCAGCCACAGCCATCACGCAGTGGCCCACCACATACTCAACTGCATTGGAACAAGGAGAGTCATCAGAGGAGCCTGGAAAAAGAAGAGAAAGTATCTCTCCTCAAAGTCCACTCCAGAGTATTAGAAAAAGCAACTGATCTACCAGATGACCAGAAATCAACATAGAGATACTAGAAATATGAAAAAAAAGAAAACAAGAAAATACAACACCACCAAAGGAATATAGTAATTCTCAAGTACCAGACCCTACAGAATAGGAAACCCTTGAAATGACTGAAAATGAAATCCAAAAATGACAGTCACTACCAGGAACACACAAGAAAAAACAAAACCAACTGATAAAACACAAATGCAAAGGACAAAGAAAAAAGAAACAAAATCTTACTACCTCAAGAAAACATCAAACAGTAGAAGAGTTCTCTTTTCCCCACATCTTTGTCAGCATTTGTTATTGTCAGTCTTTTTAATAATAGCCAGTCTAACTGGGATGAGATGATATCTCAGTCTGGTTTTGCTTTGCATTTCTCTGATGATTAGTGATGCTGAGCATTTTTCATGTACCTGTTGGTCATTTGTATGTCTTCCTTTGAAAAATGTCTATTCATCTTCTACACTGTTGGTGGGACTATAAACTAGCCCAGCTATTATGGAAAATGGTGTGGAGGTTCCTCAGACACCTACAGATTGGACTACCATATGATCCAGCAACCTCACTGCTAGGTATATATCCAAAGGAATGGAACTCATCA